CGTCAGCTGTATGCCCAGCTCCGCCCGCCAGGGTGTCGCAAGCCCGTTCGTGCAGTGTACGAAGTTGAACGCGCCCCGTTCCTGCAGCACCACACCACACTGACCGGCCCGGAGCCCTCGCGACCCACAATTAGCTGGTGTCCAGTCGGGGCAGATGTGGCCGCGCCGATACGCTATCCGCCCCGCCCCGCCCCGCCCAGTAGAAGTAGCGGCCTCCCTCCTGTATAATTGGCCGTTGCGCAACCTGCCGGCCGGCTCAACTGCGTGCGTACGACACACACGCGGCTTTTACTGCCTGTTTGATTGCGCCTGCCGATGTCCCTCTCCTCCTCCAGCCGGACCCGCCGCGCCTCCAGCAGCAGCGGCCGGGCGCGCCAGCCTGGCAGCAGGGAAGAGGAGGAGGGACTTCATATTTTTGCCTATCTTATAGCTCGTCCCGACAGACCGCCCGTCGCGACGCTAGAGTGCCTGAGAGAGAGGCCGACGTCCTCCTCGCCCCTCTCGCTCGCCGCACGACAGCAGGCAGCAGACTCTCTCGGTATTTTTTAAATATTTTCGTTCGCTACGGCGCGCAACGCAACACATGCCCGATACTACCCGGAGCCGAGCAGGAAGCCAACAGTTGCGCGGCAGATCCATCCGCCCACAGTGTGCCGTTCTGCCGAGGAGTCGGCAGGCGATTGACCGCTCGGATAAGCCCTCGTTGCTCAGCCTGTCATTAGGCCCCTCCCCCACCTCGCTAACTCCCCAGTAATACCAACTACCCGCCCGGGATGAAATTAAAACTTTTCGCAGCGGCGGCGGCGTAGGCCTCGTTGGTGCCGCCCCGCCCCCTACTCTGCGCGCTTCCGGCCCCGCTCGGCGCTAACCTCTCCTCTCTCGCTCCCTCTCTTGCTCACTCTCTCGCTCGCTCGCTCTCCCACTCTTCTGCTCTCCATAAAGACGACGGCAAGGCCGAGCGAATCGAGTTAGCGGGGACGGGAAATGTCCAGCAGGCTAAGCCTCTGCCGACCGGCGTGACTTTTGACCCGGAGTGGAAGGGGCGGCGGCGGGGAGTGGCGGGGCGTGGCGTGGCG